TTGTATTTATTAAGATAAATTTAAAAGCCAATCTCGTTGACAATCTTTTGTTTTTTTTAATGACAGTGTCAAATTTATATTTCGGTTTAGATTGTGTATTATATATGTACATACACTTAAGTCAAATTTGTTATAATATTACGGATTACTAAAAAAAAAGAAATGGAGTGATAAAGTACAGGTAATCAGATTAATGATTGAATATTTGATTTTGAATATTTGGTACTATTCGGAATCGCCGATATAGAAGAAACCTTTTATTCATCAAACATAAAAACTATAAAGCTTTACATAAAATATATACTGTTTATTTTGTAGTAAAATAAACAGAAATATATGTACATATATACAAAATAATATGTAACTAATATAAATATATATAAACTAAAAAATATTATCTTTTAAAGATTCCTATTGTTGCTTTTCCTGTAATGGGTATAATGGTAAGTTTAATTATTATATAAATAACACAGTACATTAATACTTATATATTTTCCGGTAGAGTTCGGACGTAACTTGCAGATTGTACTTTAAAGACACATTAGTTATGTTTATCGGTGGCATTATGGTTGCGTTAGCGATAGAGTATTGCAATTTACACAAGCGTTTGGCATTGAGGGTTATACAAATTGTGGGTTGCAGCCCCCGTCGGTAAGTAATATTTTATATTGTCACTACAAAGTGATTTATTTGACACTAAAACTTATACTGTGAAACTTTTAATCCCTACTTTCTTTGAAATTAACCGAACTTATCATGTGAAAGTTTTCTCAAATACGTAGTCTGTTAAAGATTAAAGATTATTTTCAAGATTATACAACTATATAATCAGTGCAATACTGAATATTTACAAAGCAAAAGGAAAAAACACTATAGATTTAAAGTCGAGAATCGGCAAGAGTTAATCGCATTTCACAAGTCGGCAGTGTGTTCAAGGTAACGTTTGCACATTTATCAATAGGCACCCCATGATAAATCTCATATTTTCCAAATATATTCATTTGTGTAGTTCTTACAGCGCAACTTATTTGTGTGCCACTGTTCGAAGACCCTTAACTATTGTTTTCCTCTCAATTTGATTATCCATAAAAATAGTCGCGATCCCAAGCAAAATTTGTACAATGCTAAGGATTTCAGGTTATATTGTACTAAATATCCTTTTTATTTAAAACGAATCTAACCATCTAACGGCAAATAATTTAAATATATTACCGACCAAAGAAATGTAGACAACTTGACAACTTGACATAACAGCAACAGTTTGATGCAAACTGATTTCTGAAAGAAGATAGAGATAGAGAGTATAATTTATCCTTAAGGGCCATATTATGTATAGTATCTCGGGTACGGAAAAATTTGCTCTTTCGGGCAATGCTGAAAATTCATATTATGTAGAGTGTCACATCAGTATTGCTAATTTCGTATTTTTACTATGTTTTGGTGCTTTTTGGTTGTGCCTAAATTTAAAAGAAAATGTCACCAAAAATAACCAACAAGAAAAAACTCATAGAGGCTTGTAATAGTGTTAATTTATTATTATATTGTCATATAATAATTGTAATTAATAATAATTAGATTATTAGCGATTTATTAGCGATTCTCCAAAACATGTTGGATTTGGAGAAATTTGCTCCTAAAAGGCGCAAATTCTAAAATTTAATACTAAAAATACTTTGCCTTAGTACCGAGGCACAAATACGACGGCTCTCATACCAGAATTTGAACAGCTATATTGTTTTTTCTCTCACTCTCAATTTTATTATTTGCATTAAAAACACCAACAATTTTACTCATGCTGTGCCCGAGACACTCTACATAACATGGTCCTTAATTTGGCGCAATAAAGGTAAAATTATTGTTTTTCCTCAATTTGATGCAGATAATTAAGCAATATTCTTTTTGGGCAGCAAGCGTTTTTATTAGACGATACTACAGAAATGCACGAATGTATTAGCTCTGTTTTAGATTATTTTCTATATTTTTAAATATTTGAATCTTTATTAAATATTTTTAAAAAAGGATGATTTTTTTTTAAAAACGGAGTATGAAAACCGATCGGTTAGAATGTGCACAACATTCCTTTTAATGGAGTGAGAGATATTTTATGCTCAATATTTAATTGTTTTGTGTTTTAGAATCAAATAAATGAATACTCTCGAGTATTTCAACGAATAACAAACACAAATTATAAACTTTTTACCTATTTATCGTTATGATTTTCTATATTTAAATTTCAAGTTAATGGCAAAATAACTACTTTGAGAAATGAAATTTTTCTTCCATTAAAGAAACAAATTTAGCCTAATATGCTGATAAGAGTATAGTAATTTTCTAAAAGCAAATAATGTTCCATTGCGACGTAAAGGTTATTTAACATACATATGTATTATATTCTGAATGAGAACAAGCAATTATATATATTTTCAACGATTCTGTTAAAGGCATAACAAATGTATTGTGCAGTATTTTAGTAGGGCATAGTACATACACTACATGTGAATATTTTATATGTAAAAAAAATTGACGCATCAATTTTTATACTATACTATAAATGAAACTGAAAACATTTTCAAACGTCAATCTGTCGCTGGTTTATGTAGGCCGAAGGAGTGTGTGGGCATTATGACATATAAACAAAATACTTCAACATTTAATAATTACTGATATCAGAACCTTGTATATTTTCAAAGTGCTCTCAAATACGCACACATCATCTTCCAAACAACAGAAATAAAATAGACTGTTTTTAAATTAGTTACCTTTTTACTGAATAAAAATTTATTCACTATTAAGAATGGTGCTGAAGTGTGGCATTGCTCTTTGTTGTTTGTTTCCAATATGAAATGTGATGTACATATGTTATACTAATGAAGTAAACAGATGGTTTCATACTTACAGTTGACTGAAGAAGCTCATGGCTCCTTTTACACATCACTGGCAACGGCAGAAACCAGATCTGACGTATAATCCTACCATCTGTAGCCACTATCTAGCTGCCGGATAAAAAGCCTTTTTTTGTTTTAACATTTATTTATGTTAACACAAAGCCATTCTATGGAAATCATTCAGTTTTACGGTAAATATTCTTGTTCTGTTCTTCTGTAAATGGTGGCAAATGTTATTGTGTTTGTCTTTGTCATGGTTAGAGCAAATGTTTAGTGACTTGTAATTGTAAATATCAAACTAAGTCGAAAATTGGTTAATTTATAATTAAATAAGGTAAAGTTTTTTTTAAGTATCTTATATATTTTACTGAGATTTAGCGATTAAAAACTTAGAATACAACATTAAATTAAGACAAGAAAAATCAAAAGAAATTAAAACACATGAAAAAATAAACCTATAGCTTTAAAATGCGTAAATTTTCAATATCTTGATTTAATTACTTCAGTAAATCATGTTAAGGATTCTTTTAATTTATTTACATGTGCAATTATTTTTGGTAAAAGAAATGAAGTAGAATTATAATCTTTTACTACATAATGTATTGTGTACATACAGTTTGTCAAGAAAGTGTTTTTAAAACAAAAAAAATTTTATATTATTTGAATTTATATGCTAAAATAACAATCATTTTTTAATGTTAATTTAAACTATCTAAAACTATTTAAAAGTTAGACGGATTCGAATAGCAAAGGAAAGTCAAGAACAAAAATTTAGTTAATTTATTGAAATTTGACTGACCATACAACGCTGTTTTGAGTATTGCCAAGTACTCTTAATCAGTGGTCTTAGGAAATAATCAAATTTTATTTAATTCGTTTATAGTCCGTATATAATTTGTTTGGACTGCAAGTGCCAGGCTTGGAACTCGTGCCTATCAAATTAGAAGTGATGACTAATCGTGTTTATCCACAAGTAGCCAAGGCTGCACAAACTTTCAATGCTCATGTTCCAGGTTTTGTTGTCACTTATTTTTATTTAATTAGTGACACCAACCAAAGTACTTACCGTGCTTTAAACTACAGCTTTATTACGAAACACAAGTTCAACGAATTGAAAGTTAATTATTAAAGTTGCCTATTTTTGTTTCAAAGCTATTCTTATGGCAGAGATATCTGTTATGTATATATTTACTTAATACATGTAAAGCGTCTTTTTTAAATTCTTTTTTATAGTTTCATAATCCATTATTTTTATTTCACATATCTTAAATGCGCCCAAAGCATAATAATAATTTGCGCCTACACTAATGATTACGACAATGAGGAGAGTCATGGAAAATGTCCGCAAATCTTATGCACTATATCATTAGCATATGGGCTCTATTTCAGTCACGAACCTGCTACAAGATGAATCACATACACGAGTTAACACCCTCCCGCATTGATGAAGTTGTCCAAATATAATTGAGTGTCATAGGTATAGGTAAATAACATTCAGTATAAGATAAAGTATGTTATATGTCTATAGACTTATTATTCATACTGACTGATTATGATATCGTCATTTTTTCTTCATTAATATATTATCTCAGATCTAATCTTGTTTTGTTTTATTAGAATGCGCATGGTTATGAATCACGTTTTACAATATTATTCTTGCCCAGGTATATCGTCTTTATTTGCCTAACTAACAATAATAGTTTGGTATTTGCCGAATAGAATGATTTTCATGTGATAGTTCATGCTGTAAAGAACAACAAGTAATGTCATCTAGAACTGAATATACAGAGTGCATGCATTGAAAAGGTATTTTCCTAGAGAGAAATAATATGCAAATACAATTTTGCAAATATAAGTTCATAAACACTTTTTTAAATACACAAATTAACTGTAAATTTATAATATACATAATTTTTTTATAGTATACATTACTATAGTTTTTAATCTATTAATTTATATTACTGCTCATAACGATTATCGGTAGTAACGATTGACTGGATTTTTTTTATGAATGGGAGAAAAGCTCGAAAGCCTAGTCAGTGGGGGATTTTAATCGACCTTAAAACTGCCCTCGTCCAGACGGACGAGGGGAGTTTTGCTGTGTTGGATATGCTGTGTTGGATATAATAGCAAGAATGGATATAGTCAATAATGAATTAAGAGATAAAAACGTTCTATATGCCTACCATGTTTCAAGTTCTTAACTTATAAATAAACAACAAATCTAAATAATTTAACATTTTACAAGTATAATACAATTTAGTGAAAGACTGTTTTCTGTTTTCTTCTTTTGGAAGAAATTTAAATTTCTAAAATGTTACTTAGGATCCGTAATATGCAAATAATAACTTTCATTTCACTAAAAATAATATTATAAAAAAAATATCTGTGATATATATGTAAATATGTATATGGAAAATGTTTTTTGTAGCCTTCATTTTGGTTTAATTTTCGTCACCATGTTGTTGTCCATGTGGATATCTAATGCGGCATGCACTGCTATGATGTGTCCTATTATTCAAGCTGTTTTAGAGGAATTACAGCAGGTAAGATTGGTTTGTATATATATGTATATCAGTAACTCTAATTATAAATTAAAATTTAGCAAGGATTGTGTAAAATGACTAGAGAACAAAAGTATCAAATTGTGGGAAAGAAAAATGGAGAAGAAGAGTATGTTCTTATTTTATTTGTCATACATTATCTTGTAATATGTTTTGCAGGGCACCTTATCCCTCTAAAGTAACTCTTTGTTACTTCTTAGGTATTGCGTATGCATCATCAATGGGGGGATGCGGAACAGTAATTGGTACAGCTACAAATTTGACATTCAAGGGAATTTACGAAAGGTTCTTTATTCAAAATTTTTATTTATTTAAAGACAATAAATTTATGATTGTTATTTCAGCCGTTTCCCTACTTCTACTGAAAGTTTGGATTTTCCAACTTTTATGTTTTACTCTGTGCCATCAATGTTGGTATATACTGGACTCATGTTTTTGTATTTGCAATGGCATTATATGGGGTTGTTTCGACCAAAAAGCAAAGAAGCAGAGGAAGTAAGACTTGGGAATGATGGAGCAGCAGTAGCTAAAAAAGTCATTGATCAACGTTATAAGGAATTAGGACCAATGAGCGCACATGAAATTCAAGTTATGATTTTGTTCATCATAATGGTTGTAATGTACTTCACTCGAAAACCTGGCATTTTTAATGGTTGGGCCGACTGGCTAAATGCGGTGTAAGTACATATTTTGCTTCTATTTCAAGTGCTTTTTTTATTTATTAATAGTGTTTTCTTATGTTCTTAATAACTGTTATATTAAAGTTATCAAAATAACCATATATACTATATACAAATGCTCCTATTAAGCATGGCTAGATCAATTGATGAGGTTTGACTATCAACATGTAAACTAGTCTAAACTTTTAAACAAATGAAAAAACATTTTTATAGTGATTTTTTTGAATCCAGGCATGGTATAATTATTATGGTTGTAAAAAATAGCTGAAACTGTTGTTACAGTCTATTTTATTGTTACAACAATATCTTTGCTGAAATCTATTATAATTTGATTGACAGATATTGAAGTTTTGATATAGCTTGCATTAGTTTTTTTTATTGTATATATTTTATATGCAATACATATAAACATACATTCTATTAGATTGATTATTCATATTTTCTTATAATGTATCCGTTTATGTAACATTAAAAAGCGTTTTTACTTTAATAGAGACATTCGAAATTCTATGCCAACAATTTTTGTTGTTGTGATGTGCTTTGTGTTGCCAGCAAATTACGCCTTTTTAAGGTATTGCACAAGAAGAGGTAACATATAATACATTAAACTTTTTTCAAATATTTTAAACTTTTTTGTTTCAATTTTTTACAGGTCCACTCCCTACCTCTACAACGCCATCATTAATCACATGGAAATTTATACAATCCAAAGTGCCTTGGGGTCTTATTTTTTTGTTAGGTATGTTATACTTTCCTATTTTATTAATAACAGGACTCACAATTATACTAATTTAAAGTACAAAAAATAAAAAAGCAAGTTAGAGCACAATAACTGAATTATCGTGAGAGAATTTTTACCATAAAATCAAATTAAGCATTTTTGAAATACAGTTAAATATTATGGGGAATGATATCAAACGGGCGTTAATAATAAGTATATAACACTACTTCATATTTTTCTAAGTGTTTAAGTGAGAGCAAAAGAAAGTTGACAACAATACTGCAGACTTCTTAACTATGATGTGTGAAATGAAGAAAGCATTCGTATATAATTGCAACACATTATAATCTGTGTCAAATAAATTTAATAATGTGCAGTACGACAATATATATTGATGTATGTAGTTATACTATAATTTTTATATAAATAGTTAAAATATTTATATTATTATTGGGTGTATAAGTTAACTTTTGTGCTGAACATTCTTTTATAATGACATTAACGTCAGGTCAAACTGTTGTCATTCTACATTAAAATATAATATGTCATTATTCGTTAAAACGTAAACATCATGTGTGTTATTGCATTAAAATATGTCGACTTTCATACCAACAAAAGATCATTTGCGGCAAGCATTATTTTTTTGCTTTAATCAAAAGAAAAAAGCTGTTGAAAGCTTTTGATTGCTTCAGGAAATTTATAGTGCACAAATTCACCAGACTTGCGAAATCAGTTGTAAATGATTCAAAAGTGATAGTTTTGAAGAAAGAACTAGCAGCTCAGCTAAGTGCCACTCAATCAGCCATAACCAAATGTGTGCATGCCATAAAAATGATTTGAAAAGAAGGAAATTGAGTATCATATAAACTGACTAAAGTCAACATTGAAAATCGTTTAATGATTTGCAATTCTTTAGTTACATAGTACTGAATGTGGCATTTTTTTATATTAATTCCAATTTTTTGGCGATGAAAAATAAAAAGTGGATTTGGTGGGATCAGAAAACAGTGGTGTACTATGAGCTAAACCATACATTGAATGAAAAACGTCAGATTCTAGCCAACAAACAACATTGCCAACATTGCTTAGCTGTATTTCAGAGGAAATGGTAAAAAATCTATTCAAAAGGTTGTGCTCCATCCGATTAATTACTACTAGCTTGTTGGCTAAGCGAGTTAGGAATTCAACTTTTCTGGCATCCATAAATTATGGATTTGAACTTCCTTCATAATGTTCAGATGTGGCGAATAGCACCTTGATACAAAGAAATTGGTTACATTGGCAAATTCGTTCCACCTTAGAAAGCTTTTTTGAGATAACGTAGAAGGTAACAAGTCGTCCCAATTCAATTTGGCATTAATATGGATCAAATATAGCCATCACAATTCCTAAAAGCTCTTGCTTTATTGGAGCCCTTTTACCTTTGATAACTTCTTTAGCTATGCGATGAAATTTTATTAAAAATTGAAACGAATCATTTGTCATAAAGTTCAAAACTGGCGCATAGTAACAAAACAAAAATTAGGCGGTCAAAATTTGATATTTTCGGAACCAGTAGAGATATTGATATGAAACTTTTCTAAAATACAGTTTTTGAGATGATGATCTTTCTTTTTAATCTTTCAAATTTGTGCCCAATCGGCTTACCAGAACCCCACAAAATTTTTGCTCAAACATGAGGCATTTAGTGATTTCTCTAGTAGGAAAAATTTTTTGAAAATCCTTCGATACCTCTTTGTTTTGTCACACTCTGCGGCGTTTGCATTAATTTGCACCACTTGTTGATAAATTTCTAGAGCGTGCTGTATCGAAGTTGGCAACGTAATCGGCATTCTGGTCAGTTTGTCGTGTTTTAACCTGAGAAAACATCTTTCATATGCCTACGGTAAGTGCAATACGGCCTGTCGAAGTTAAAAAAGGAATCCCATTTATGGGTTTATTAGGTTTACCGGTATGAAGTGAGCGTAAAGATACAAATGTTCCGACAGGGAACATTTGTTGTGAATGAACCATTTTTTGTTTGTTTGCTATGACATGTGTGAAATGTATTTAGTATACATCAAGTCATTGAACAGACAACATCATATTTTTTCGTCGTGTTAAAAATGTCGAATTTTGTACCAGAAAGTGATGATTTGCGGAAAGCATTAATTTTTTGTTTTCATTTGAAGAAAAGTAGTGCAGAGTCGCATCGAATGCTTGTCGAGACATATGGTGATCATGCTCTATCAGAAGCAACATGCAAAAAATGGTTTCAATGGTTCAGAAATAATGAATTGATGTGAGAAATGAAGAACGTGGAAGACCGCTAAAAAAGTTTGAAGACGCCGAATTGCAAACGATATTGGATGGAGATGACACTTTGGGTCAAAAGCAATAGCAGAAATGTTAAATGTTGCACAACAAACAATTTCTGACCGTTTAAAAACTATGGGAAATCCAAAAGATCCAAAAGTGTGGAAAATGGGTGCCACATGAATTGAATGAAAGACAGATGGAAAACCGAAAAAACACTTGTGAAATTTTGCTTCAAAGACACGAAAGAAAATCGGTTTTGCATCGGATTGTTACTGGCGATGAAAAATGGATTTATTTTAAGAATCCTAAACAGAAAAAATCATGGGTTAATCCGGGACAACCATCAACATCGACTGCAAAACCAGATCGATTCAGCAAGAAGACAATGCTGTGTGTTTGGTGGGACCAGAAAGGTGTGGTGTACCACGAACTCCTAAAACCTGGTGAAACCGTCAATGCTGGTCGCTATGAACAACAAATGATAAATTTAAACCATGCATTGATCGAGAAACGACCAGAATGGGCCAGAAGACACGGCAAGGTAATTCTGCTCCATGACAATGCACCTGCACACAAAGCAAAACGTAGCCTTTTCTGGTCCCTTCAACAACGCTGACTTGAGAGATTGTTTACCAACAGTGGCGGCGGAGTCGAAACCAATTCTCAACTTGTCGGGCATATGCGGGTTCTGCACATAAAAATACGGCAAACACCACACCGGCTTTGTAATATGTTCGGTTTCATCTTTTGTAAGTTTCTTGACGTAACGCTTGGCTGTGTATTTGTTGCTTTCGGCCTTATATCTTTCTGCGAACTTGACATTAATTCTCAATTTTGATTCAATTCCCTGTAAACGTTTGATGGTCATGACATAACTATCAGGCAATATTGGTAATTTTTTCTCTCCATAAAAGACCTACCTCATAATGATCATTTATAAAGCGTGTCGTATCAGATAAAATTTTACATGCTCTCAAATCATCAGCTGACTTTAAAGGCGATGTTAAATTTTCGATTCTGAAATTCTCACTATTAAAATATTCAGCAGTAGTACGATCAAGATATGTAAGGGATGGTTCTGCTCGGGCAAATAAAATTTTCGAATGAATGTGGGCATTTGAACCTGTTGAACCATACGCTCATACGAAACTCATCCAAGTTTCGTTCATATAACAACTGGATCAGATGTACCGGCGGTTACTAATGCAGAAGATGCATTTATGTTTTCGCAATTTAGACCCAGCAGCATTAAAGGGCGAACATCGTCAAAGCAAACATTCAAAGTGCTCATAATCTGATTTCTTGAACGAATGTGTTGGCAGACTAGAATTGGCAATCGCGTAAGTGTGTTTTACCTTATATTGTTCGCTTATATTGACATTCAGTACTGTTGAGTTTTGAGTCACCTTTTCTTCACTATATCATTGCAATGTTAAGTGTTCTTTTTTGCCTTTAAGACCTAGCTGATTCGCAATTTTGACATCCAACATAGAGATTGACGACCCTTTATCCACAAGTGCGCAAATCTTCAGTTGTCCTTTTGGTCCCATAATTTGCATCGGAACTATTTTATAGAAAAAGCTGGAACATGACATGGCACAACTCAAAACCTGCTGAATTGATTCAGATGAAGGCTGCACATGTTGGAGCTCATGTAGCAATTTATAATGGTTTTTACGGCAACCATTTATCTGCATTTATCTGCAGGATTTTTTCATTTGGCACTGTATGGCATTGTGTCCTTTCTGCAAATATGAAATGCATAATTGAAGCTGCTTCACCTTTACCCAAAGCTGCTGAACATTCGAATTCAAAAACGCTTCACATGTAAATATCAGATGTGGGCCGGTGCACTCAAAACACTAGTCTCTCAGGCGATTCTCTTCCTCTGTCTCTTGGTTTTGTTCATGCATAACTGGGCGCGTATAATATTGGCTAACTGTCATTGTAATTGTGGCCTTTTTTTTGGTTTTTGGTTTAGGCAATGGTTGTGGCAAAAAGCAAATTGAGTAAGCTCCACGAGCTTTGAGTAAGACTGTATATACATAAGTGTGTTCCATCAGCAAATTTTCGAGTAAATGAGAGCATCTGAGAGAGCATAACATCCCTGTTGAAATTTAAAAATGCTATACAGATTTCACTCGAACATTTTATTTCAAGTAATATTTGTGCTGATGTATAAATCAGCTGTTTTGGTTTGAATTTAAATTTTTGTATTGTTTATTTGCGCGGCACTGGTGTTCTCAGCAGACTTTACACAAAGATGTTCCATGAAAACCTGTTTAAAGAGCATAATTTGGCATATTTTGAAACTGATAAAAGTGTGTTGGGAGTTTTGTACGAGTTATTTTCTAATTTATAAAAATATTGAAAATTTAAAGAATTGTTAGTATTTCTTTCGTGTTCTGTTCTAAAAGATATCAGAGAGAACTAATTATAAATAAATAAACAACCTTGTATTTTGTTTTGCGAAATAATTAACTTCGGCAAATTTTGGGGTGATTTTAGGTATTACAGCTAAATACGTGGTGACGCCTAGCACCGCTATATTTCTACTTTTAACAAAATTTTTCTTTGAAAATCAGTCGTCCTTACGTATCGCTCTTGAAAAATATTCAGATAATTTGTGCGCTTTATTTTGTTTTAAATAATTGTGTTGTGTTAAAATAAAAACTGATTATGCATTTACAACATAAAAACATTTGACGAAATCGCAGGAAAAATATAAGTTTATCCACGCAAGGAATAAACACATGCAATGTAACTGTAGCCCTATAGAGATTTATTTATTGTGAATAAAATGAAAATTGTAAAAAAATTTATATTAATTACAAAAATTATAAACTAATCTTTCTGTCAATTAAATAATAATATTGTTTTCAGCAAATTAAAAACATAATTTTTTTTTTAAGGTGGTGGTTTTGCATTAGCCGAAGGCAGTAAAGTAAGTGGAATGGCCACCCTAATTGGAAATGCACTTGTTGGACTTAAATCACTTCACCATGCTATTCTGCTACTTGTTGTTATTATTGTCGCTGTTGTATTAACAGCATTTAGTTCAAATGTTGCCATAGCAAATATTATTGTACCTGTATTAGCTGAAATGGTATTACGTTTATTGTAATGCAATTTACATATTAAATTATATAAGTCATCAATTACAGTCTCTGGCAATTCAAATTCATCCATTGTACTTAATTCTACCAGCTGGTTTAGCTTGTAGTATGGCTTTCCACCTTCCGGTGAGTACACCCCCGAATGCACTTGTAGCTGGATATGCGAATATTAGGACAAAGGATATGGTAATTAAAAATAACTATTAAACATTGTACTTTTTATAACATATCAGTTATAGGCTATTGCCGGAATCGGACCCACGATTATAAGCGTTGTTGTACTATTCATATTCTGCCAAACATGGGGTTTGGTTGTTTACCAGAATTTAAATACCTTTCCGGATTGGGCACAGGTGCTTGTCAATGCTACACTTAAATCTACTAATGCAACAAATATTTAGAGTATCTTGAAAAATCATTAAATCGAGTATGCATTAAAAGAAGATATTTTACCATATAGATATATGTAGGTACAATTAGAATTCATGGTTTCAAGTATCTTCCTCTTTTTATCTCGTGATAATTCTTATTAGATAATTAAATACAGTGGTTTTATTTTTCTTTAGCGATTTATAGAAAATAAAAAAATGATACATAGGTTTATAAATGAAAACATTGTTGTACATATCGCATAATCAATATATATAGTGCACATTATATCAGATTAAATATAGGAAATAAACATACGAGTAACATTCACGTATTTTTAACATTTGCATTTGAAAACTATTTTTACAGAAAGTAATAACTACTATTATAAAAAATTAATTTTTTAAATTTGTGGTTACCAATGCATTTAAATATATAACTAAAAATGTGAATTTTGTATGTAAATATGTGAACAAAAAGTTGTTTTTAAAAATTTTAAACTGTTATATTTTTGATAAAAATATTCGTTTTTTTAACAGACTGAAAATGAAAATATTCTAAATATATGCAAATACATAAATATCAAGACACAAATGTTACCTCTTAATGATAATACTATAATGTTGAGTGTAAGAAATATAAATAAATTTTAATTTCTTCATATGTAAGCTTTTACTGTTTATATTTAAATTTACTCAGTTATGATCTGTGAGTATAATTTACTTAATTGTATATGTATGTAAGTAATGATAAGTTAATTTTAGATAATTACAATATTTTTAGCTTTTATACCAGGGTTCGTAGAAATATTGTGCACAACACGACGCAATTCGTGTTGCAATTCGATGTCACCTGGATCCCTTTTAACTTATCTTTCCTCTGTAATCTGGGCTCAGAAAAGGCCATAGCTGCACAATTGCTATATTCAAAGTTCGACTCAGCTAAGATCAAAACTTGATCACATATCTATGTTTACATGATTTTTCTAAGGTTTTTAATCGCGTTGATCATTTTTTGCTTTGCAAAAACTTTTCATCCCGACTTTTAAAACTCTGCATACTGGAGTTCCGGAAGAGTCAAATCCGGGTCCCTATTTGTTTTTAATTTATATAAATTATGTTTTTTCTTTCTTGATTGTTATTTTTTTAATATCTTCTCTGTTTGTAATATATCTAATATCTATTGTAATATCTATTCAAAATTTATAATCTTACATTTTTTTAATTTAATTTTTTTCTTTTATTTTTTTTTTATGATTTTTTTATTTGCTTGTTATCTAATAATTTATAAATTGTTATTTATTGTGTATATATTATTTATCTCTTTTTTGTTAGTTTTTAAGCTAGTTCTATGATGTGCATCATACAAGAGGGTTTTTTTCCTTAACGCAGTTTTAAAATAAAAAAAAATAAATAAGAATAATTTAATTATAATTTTTGTTTTTGTTTAGGTCAAAACAATTTCATAATTTTTTGATAATGTATAAAATTCAACTTGTAAACAAATAAATAACAACAACAATAACAAAGCAATAGCAATAGTTAACAATTCATTAATTAGTCTTAAAGTTTTAGAATTATTTAATTCTAATAGTTACCAACAATAGGCCTCTTCTTTTGTAAGCATATTACAAAAAAACAACTGCTTATTTTAAAAATAACATATGAACCTACAACACTGCTGGCTTATTTAGTCCAACCTTTTTGAAATCGCTTAACTAATAAGCAGCTCAAATCACATGGTTGCCAAGACTAAAAATTTGTCTATTGTGAACGATTTTTTGAAGTACGTACGAAATTTCCAGTTAACTGTTTTACGTTCGTAGTCTAGCAGATTGAATTTATCTTGCAAAAACTTTACTTCAATATATTTTGTGCTACTATACAGTGGTTGAGATAAGGTTGTACGATTTTCATGGTACACTTTTTAATCGGTTGTAATTGCTTGTATTTTGAACAACGAATACCCTACGCAAAACACAATTTTTTCATATTCGAACAGTTTGCTGCCGTTCTCCCTATCCGCATTTCGTTACAGAGATTTTTACGATCTTACACTGTTGCACAAAATGACTATGTCCTCAACATTTGACTATATAATACAGTCACGTTCTTGGTACGACAGTAACCGAATACGTATTCGGTAGTATTCAAGTACTTCAGCCGCATATCCTGCAGACGGAATGATGTAGATTGTCTGGGTGTCTTGATAACCTATTCTAATACTGCGGTCTTATGTCGAATTCGTTATACAACGCCTCGCATTGTTCAGCTACTATAGTAATTTCATCCAAATATCTAAGTCGTATCGTTGTGGTGTAAGTTTTTGTTGTGACTTTGGATAAATATTTAAACACTCTTAAAAAAGTAGCTCTTTCCTATATATGCTACTTTACGGCCCATATACCATGTATATATCTCCAAGGATTGACACAATATTTCATCAGATATTGGTTCAGTTCCAGGTCAGTTTAACCAGGATTGAGTTCAATTTTGTCTACATCTCTAACTTAACAGCGACTTTAGGTGGAACGTACTATAATTTTACCGGAAAGGCAGCAGAAACTGTATTTGCCAAGAAAATATTGAATTAAGATGACACCAATGCTTATTTAAGTATCACAATACAATCACCACCAGCTCCAAGCAGTCTAAATAGCATGTTCGACTGTAGCTTTAGTTCTTGGAGCAATATCTACTACTAACGTGGCGATACCGACTTCTAACCTTTTATTGTAACAACAGTTACCCCTAGTATGTGGAACAGACGCTATGCACTTATATCTCTCTCGTTCATGTGATATCAACCATTCCTAAACAGTTACTATACGCTTCTGTCTCTCGCGATCCATCTGAATATTGTGAATATTTACTTAAACGACATTCATTTATCTCGTCCTAAGGGCTTCTCATGTTTCTGTATTCTTTTTGATGGTTTCTGTGGTCTCTTGCGGTGTGCCTTATCTCGGATATATTCTTTTGTTATTTTGCAGAAAACTTCACTACAAGTGAGATACCAGGGTAGCGTGTCTAAATGCATGAAAAATGCCAGCGTAATTGCTATCGCCTTCAATCTAAGTCGATGCACAGCTTCCACGTGGCACCTCTGGAAAGCTACAACGAATTCTATCCTTAGCACTTCAAGTTTAGGTCGAATACTGTATTTGAATCCCGTCACATAAACTCAACTGTTAGGGGAGGACGTAACGATGCCTCGGATGCCTGCGGAACAACGCAGCATATCAAGTCACATTGCGGTCAATTGCGATGCGATGGTAAAGAACGATATCGGCAAAAGAGAAGGGAAGAGAAACGTCTTTTCAGGCGAAAAAAGAAAGAAGCAGAAAGATGTGAGTACGAAAAGCTGGAGAAGTTGGGCGACAGGAATATGACTAGAAAATTCTGTTAAAAAACCAAATACTGGTTATAAACCCGGAGTTAATTCCTGGAAAGATAAAAATGATAATCTGGTTATATGTCTAAAGCATACTTAACATTTGGAGGGATCACTTTTCAAACCTACTAAATGCCGTTAGTAGTGCTGTGACTGAAAATCAAGATGATCCTGAATTTGCAATTGTTGATAATTAAATAAATAGATAGAGTTGCAGAAGCCGATGGCTTGCCGTTGCAGTTAATTCGCAACATATGATCAGATGAATGCATGCCTAACGATTGGAATTTAAGTGTGCTTTGCCCAATCCACAAAATAGGTGATCCTGCAAACTGCGCCATGCAAACTGGGCTCAGTCTTTTATATATTGCATATAAGGTTCTGTTAAACGTACTATGTAAAAGATTGAAGCCAATCGTCAACCAACTGA